GTCAAAAAATATGTTAGTACATTATAGTTTAGCAGACCTTTCAAGAAGGCTGCTAGTTCATTACAATTTAGCAGACTTCTGAAAAAATCTCCTAACTCTAAATGTATACCTTATGTTCTATAAGACTTGTAAAGAAGTTTGTTTATTCATAACTTCTTGAAATTTTTCTTGACAAATTTTGTATCTCAACTTATAAAATATTTTTATATTTAAAAGTAAATATTTTTTAAGTCAAACAGAATATTTAAGACTCCAAAAACCAACCCTAAAATATATTCACATTACTTGTCATATGTTATCAAACTCTAAGCAATGGACAACCATGATTTACAATCTATATTCACTCATCTATATGGCCAACACTCCAATTTTATTAAATTTAAATTTACATGATTTACAAATTTTTATATTTTTATGATTTCAGTTAATTTTCTATCAAAATTATTATTTTTATAAGTTAATTTTAGTTAGGATTAAATACATTATTATATTTCTCAAGAAATCTTTTTTATAGAATACTCCATTGTCTCGAGAAGACTTCACATATTATAACCGTAACTAGGTGGTAAACCGTGCCCTGCACGGAGTAAATAGAATAAAGGAGATTATAAGTTGTAATCTACAGATATTAGAAAGTTAAAAGTCATACTCACAAATATTACATGTTATAGAATAAAATATTGAACAAAAATTTTCATGTTTATATAATGTAAGCTTCATTTAAAAAAAAACTTCTGTAATTGGCTAGGTGTAATCGAAATATATTTTATGGAAATAAATTTATAAGAGTAAGCAAAGACTTATATAAAATTATATATGAATTTAAGATAAAAAAACATATGAAACATAATTATTGTTTTTATAATATAAATTATGAATATAGTACAATGAAACATAGGTAATAGAATAATAATTTATAAAGAAAACAATAAAAAACCGAGAAAACCACAACTGCTGAGAAAATTATATTCATAACTCCTCGTTGAAATACTATAAAGAACAATAACAAAGGATATCAGTTTACCCAACTAAACATAATTATTTACCAAACTCACTAAACAAAATGATATAATTCTTTAGCTTTAAGTTAGAAATGAAATTCATAGTACTCATTGTCTTTGCTTGTATTTCTGTTTGTAGTATTTGATACAGTAGAAGAAAATTTAGTATGATATATATAGTAATAACTAACAGGGTTTAGGGCACAATAATTGAGTCAATCAAATATATTATCACGATATTTATGGCAAAAAAATCTATGTTAAATTTTTTAATTGGCCATGAGAATTTAAATAAATCAGTAATAATTTTCCTATATTAATTGAAACCAGAATGCCTTATGAGGAAAACGTATAGTTGTTTCTTTTTTTTTTTTTGGTTTAGGCCACAATAATTGATCAGTCAATCAAATATATTACATTGACTCATATAAAAACTAAATTCTCATAAATTACGGTCAATCGTTAAATTATCAAAAAGAATCAAGTAAATATAGGAAATTGGTATTATTGAATTGGATATTAATAGAGACCATCAAATCACCCATGTATTTAAATTCACGGATTGATTTCATATTTTGTTTACGGTCATAATATAACTTGTGTCATATATAATAAGATTATATATATTTATTATATTTACGTTAATTATATATTTTTAAGCAAATTCTTATGTTGCCAAAAACCAAACTTACAAAAAAAAGTATTTTAATTCAAAGATTAATACAAAATGTTTGATAACAGTATCTTCATTACATCCGAGAAATATAGCTATGCCTATATGAATATGCCAACTCTAAAAGTTGTATCAACATTATTGTAATTTGGTTCTTTTCTTCCTCTTCATAAAAATCTGATAAACTTAGTACAATTTATATAGTTCAAATTTATAGGGTTTAGGACCTCAAAATTTTGGAGAAGCAAAACATTTTATCGCCATAATACAAATATAAAATCCTTAAATTTTTGTTAATTATTTTAATTTCCAACATAAATTTGTACTTTGCTATATTATCATCAGAGGATTGCTTATTTCCATTACGTAAACACGATATCCATATTTAGTTTGTTGCTGCAATTAGAGTGCAATGTAAGATTATGATATCAAGGGATTGCTTTGGTCTATTGCGTATATACGATTTCCTGTTATGTAAAATTATTGCTAGGATTACCGTAAATTTATGCAACTATTCGAATTTCTTTGATATAAGTTTAAAAGATAACATGGAATCCTCCATTTCCCATAGTTAATCACATATATTTTTCAGACCTTGTACAATTTGTATTTATTATTGATTAAATGTTACATGTATTTATTAAAGAATTCGCTTAATGAACATCAAATTTTAATACAAATATGGTAATTTTAGTGTAGTAATGTTCTTTATATTTATGTTGATCATAATCTCCTTCATTGTAATAATATTTTGATTTGATATGAAAGACCTACACGTCGAAAATACAATATGAAGGTGATAGCTAATCATGTTTACTGTTAAAAATGTTTAAATTTGCTATATTTATAAACGTATTATATTCACTATAAATACATACTGGAGTAGCCAGTTGTTCACGTCTATATTATGTATGTAAAAAAATAAATCAAATTTATGTTGTGAATAAGTTATATTTTAGGTATATATATAACATATAGTTATATAAGTGTTTAATATATAAGATTTATGTTGTATTCATCTAACTTATCATTCAATTTCTTATTTCATAAATTAGGTATTTTTGATTCCTTATATTTGGAAAACAAAGAAAATATAAACTCACTAATATCTTAAAAAGAGGCTTTCAGTTAATACGACATAAAACATCTACTGACAATAAAACAAATCATGAGAATTCAAAAATAAAACATAAATCCAAACCAAACAGAGACAAATTGCATAAAAAACAATGAAAACCTTTACTACTGGATTAATACGTCCGTCTCTTCAGCCATTTTTTTTTCAATTTTTTCCTTATTGATTCTGATAGTTGTCCGTCTCTTCAGCCATTTTTTTTCAATTTTTTCCTTATTGATTCTGATAGTTCGCTTCCCTTGGGTTGTTTTGCAGAAAACAAAGTTGTGATTCTATAGATTAATTATGACTATGATATATATATGTATACGACCCTCTGATAGGATTTTGTAGACTCTTATTGAGTCAATCCAATATATGCAATCGAGAAATTAATGGAAAACAAATCTCTGTAATTTCATGATCATTATTTTAATTGTGTTTGAATTAATTGAGTGTTTTAGTTTTATGTATTTTGAATATTGCACTAGTTACGGTTAATTGTTAAATCAACAAAAAGAATCAAGTAAACCAAGTTAAAACAGGAAACAAAAAAGTGGAATATTTTTAAAAATACAACGGTTGATTAAACTATTTATGTACTTGCATGATATAAGTTTATAGCATAAGGCTAAGTCTATGGAGGTGCATTTTACTTGAAATAAATTGAAATACTTTAATCGTCGGAGGCATACAAAGGAAAAAAAAAACATGTTCATAAGAATTCTCATTTTTAAAATACTACTGTTGATTCAATCATATTTACAAACTATGGAGCTGCATTGTCCTTCAAATAATGTGAAAAAGTTTAATTTTCGAGTCATATAATTTTTTTTTTTGAACAAACATAAAAAAATTAAGCTCAATAAGATATAAACGTTCGCAATGGTCTTCGAACAAACATGAATCAATATGCAGTGTATATAGGTGGACGATGTACTGCATATGTTTTCCATTAAACGATTATATGTGCTGGCATGGGACAGAAAAAATGAACATCAAATGTGGTATATTCGTATTCTTACGTAAACGGTGATATATTCGTATTCATATATATATGGTATAAAAAGAATGCATAGAAATAATAGAAGGAGAAACATATATTATAACAACTGTCCAGATTTAATAATGAATGGCATTTTATGTAATTTCTCTAGGCAATAGAGGCTTGTTTTAAAATGGGTGTGAGAAGCATTCTCATGATGACACCTAAATAATGACAATTGTGTTAATAATGCATGAACAAAATGTTTTAAATTAAAAGTGTTCCTCAAATGATATAAAGGGGATATGTTTAGACAATTGAAGATAGTTTTCATTTATTACCTTTTTAGATTAATTTTGGATTTGATTGAATTTGATGTATAGATTTACAATTAAATTCAAATTTTATGTTATTTTTGGGAAATATCCTTTTAATTAAACCATAGTATCTAGCTGTGGGTCAATTGAAGAAGGCAATCATCATTTCAACAAATGAATCACAGTTGTCTTGCAGTTAAAATCTATTAAATAAAATTCCACAAATCCAGTGAACTATGTCAAATAATCTTTCCCTTTTAAGATAAAATTCCACAAATCCACTGAACTATGTCAAATATTCTGTCTAAAGCCATCACTACCATTTATGATTTAACTAAACCATATATATAGCTGCCTTGGGTCAATCCAAGAAAGTCATAATCCAAAAAAAGTGCCAAAAGTCTATTTTGGATAAGTATGTTCACTGTCAACATATTATTTCATTAAAAATATAAGCTACCTTATAATTAGAAGAAAAACTAGGTAGGAAAGTTGTAAATGTCCTAAAAACAAACTTGATGTTCTGTACCAGATCAACATAATTGGTAAAAAAATAAACTCCTTCTTTTTTATCATTTGTCAAACTGGTAATATATATATGTACCTGTTTATTGATGGCAAATGGTAGCCAACATTTTTTTTTACAATTAGTTTAATCTTGAGGTTGTCTTTCTCAGTATTGCATCGTTTTAAAACCTCTTTTGTGTTTCTGTTGTAACCTATTAAACTCTGCATAAACAGGAAAACTAAAATACTTCTGTTTTTTTTAGGCTTGTGGGTACTTCATATAAAACCAATCAAAGGTCATTGAGAGTACGTAGGCGGGGTGTTGCAAAAACAATATACTGTAGAGAAAATGAGTTGTTTCTCGTGTTTCTCTTCAAAAAGTTTGAAAAATGAAGGTTCTTCCATGCCTGCTCCGTATAGGCAACCAGGCTCACCTAGTAAGCTCTCTTTCATATCTTTGGAAATGCATTGGCTGACTCTTTTAGATTTTGTAAAATTTTCGCTATATCTTCTTTCTTGTAGATAATCAGAGAGAGAGAACAAGAGGAGTCGTGGCCAATAATGCACCCTCGCAATCGAACAACATCAAGGCTCAGGGTTTCTCGTTCCGTGAGTTAGCCACCGCAACAAATAATTTCAGGCTAGAGAACCTCATTGGCGAAGGCGGGTTCGGGCGGGTTTATAAAGGAAAGCTCGACAAGACAGGACAGGTCAAATCCTCATATATGTCGAACAATATTGGTTCTCTCTTACATAAGAAAAATTGAGTAAAACTCATTTCCTTTTTTGGGTCTATGATTAGGTCGTGGCAGTGAAACAGCTTGACAGGAACGGACTACAAGGACAAAAAGAGTTCTTGGTCGAGGTTTTGATGCTTAGCCTTCTTCATCATTCGAATCTTGTGAACCTAATTGGCTACTGCGCTGATGGAGACCAAAGACTTCTTGTTTACGAATATATGCCTCTTGGATCCGTCGAAGATCATCTCCTTGGTAAATTATCATCCCCACTCAATTTTAATGGTTAACCAAACATAATCGTTACGTTTAAAAAAAAAAAGATAACCAATCGGTTGGATGATGTAATTAAAAACAGATCTTGAACCGGGTCAGAAACCACTAGATTGGAACTCGCGTATTAAGATCGCTGTAGGAGCAGCAAAAGGACTCGAGTATCTCCATGATAAAGCCAAACCTCCAGTGATTTATCGAGATCTTAAATCATCAAATTTATTGCTTGACAAAGATTTCGAAACAAAACTGTCAGATTTCGGTTTAGCAAAGCTTGGTCCTACCGGAGACACACTACACGTGTCTTCCCGGGTTATGGGAACTTACGGTTACTGTGCTCCCGAATATCAAAGAACCGGCCATCTTACGGTTAAATCAGATGTTTACAGTTTTGGAGTTGTGTTGTTGGAACTGATAACCGGAAGACGAGTTATCGACACTATGAGACCAAGTCATGAACAAAATCTGGTTACTTGGGTGAGTTTTTTTTATTAGCATTTCACTGATGGCTCATTAATGTAGACACTACTAATCAAAATGTATAACTTTTGCTTAGGCACAACCAATCTTCAGAGACCCAACTAGATTTCCACAACTAGCTGATCCATTGCTTCGAGGCGAATACCCGGAGAAGAGTTTAAACCAAGCTGTAGCTGTAGCGGCAATGTGCCTGAATGAAGAACCTACGGTCAGACCACTAATCAGCGACGTTGTTACAGCCCTCAGCTACCTTGGTACATCTTCCGATTCCTCCGATGCTGACCCTAGTCATTTGCAACAAAACCCATCAGAGACATATCATGATGCAGTTCAGTGGGATTCAAGTCCTAGATAAAGTTATTTGCTCATGTAGACATTTTTATGCGATACAACAACTCACAACATCTTGTATTCATTTAATTTATTTTTCATTATGTATTGCCGACGTTGTTTTTTATCAACATGTTTCACCTAAACTGCAAAATACAAAAAATAATAGTGCGTACAAGCATCCAACTCATGATAAACATACAGATTCACAGGGTTAAACGAACCACAGCTATTACGGACATTCCTTCATACTAATTCCGAAGATGACGACAAGAAGTTAATCAAACATGTAAAAATATGCTCCGCAAATATTAGGAAAACGTAAATAAACCAAATTATATTCTCAAAATGTAGCACTTTTTTTTTTTGAAAAGAAAATGTAGCACATTTTTATTACTAGCTAATATTTCTCACAATGACGAAAGTATCAATTTTTGAATCCTGATTAAAAACACGAAATAAAAGTCAATTGAGTTTAGAGAATCATTAAGAAAATATACAAATATGCATTTGATTTTTTTCTTGAGTCAAGAAATCACATGTAATGTGTGACAACTTGTACGATTTATCAATCACATGATATAATAGTGCGTGAGGCTGTTTCACAACACCCAAAATAGAATTTACGAATCGAAATAACCACACCGAACCAAATTCAGTTGAGAACCAAATAGATACCTTAATATATAAAAATATTAATTATATGTACATATAATATAACTAAAAATATTTATAATTTAAAAATCTATTAAACGTATTTGAACATAGTTGAAAACACTAAATTATTATAAATTATCCAAAAATATTTTAAATATCCAAACTAATCCAACTATCTAAGATTTTTATCCGAATTTTTAATTAGTCAATATTTCACACAAAATGCTCAATATTTAACTTGTATTAACTAACGATCCAAAATAGTGAATCGAACCAGAACCAAGTGAGAACTGATATTTTGGATATTTTCTGGTTCTTAAATTTTTATTATTTGAATCAAACTAAATTTAAAACTACCTGAAAATAGGCCAATTAGTAAATTGATCCGATCCAATAGTCGTGATACTCGAAATATCTAAACCAAACCGAACATGTAGTAGCTAGACTAATTTTTCCATTATATTTTAATCCAACAAACTGACTTAATGACAAAAAGAAAAGACAAAAACGCACGCTGTACATAACCAAACGACGACGTACACGTATTGCATCTGTTTCATTCATTCATTCATCTCCTTTCTCATCACCATTGCTTTCCAGACGCAGAGTAGACTAAGAGAGATAAAAAAAAATGGAGATTGGGTTTCTGGGTTTAGGTATCATGGGAAAGGCCATGTCAATGAATCTACTTAAGCACGGATTCAAAGTAACCGTCTGGAACAGAACTCTCTCCAAGGTAACAACTAACTAACTAACTAACTAACAACTCTCTCCTTGATTTTTGATTCTTCAGATCTGATTTAAACTCTGATGATGGAAACACACAGTGTGATGAACTTGTGGAGCATGGAGCTTCTGTATGTGAGACTCCAGCTCAAGTAATCAAGAAGTGTAATATTACCATCGCTGTCCTCTCTGATCCTTCTGCTGCTCTTTCGGTATTGTTTTTTAATTCAAATCTCTTTCTTTATTATTGTGTGTGATTTGATGATAAAGACAAAGTTACAATCTTTGATATGATTTATAAGGTTGTTTTCGATAAAGATGGTGTTTTGGAACAAATCTGTGAAGGGAAAGGTTATATCGATATGTCAACTGTCGATGCTGAGACTTCCTTAAAGATTAATCAGGTTTCTTATATGATGAAAAGAATGATTAAACATAAAAAGAATCGATTAGGTTTTGATTTTTAGGATAATTTGGCAGGCAATCACTGGGAAAGGTGGTCGGTTTGTAGAAGGTCCTGTTTCAGGTAGTAAGAAGCCTGCAGAAGATGGTCAGCTCATCATACTTGCTGCTGGTGACAAGGTATATTAAATCTCTTGTATTAAGGAAAGAGTGTCTGCCCTCTGTAAACCCATGTTTTTCTTTCCAAATTCTTGTATCGGTATTTTATATTTATCGATTTATTTTATGCAAATGCTTTGCAATTATTCAGTCGTAGAATTTGTGTTTCTACGTCTCTCAACAACAAAACCCTTCTACTTTGGAACTTTAGTAGGAAATTTTACACATACTCATTGATATGCTAGGCGCTTTTCGAGGAGTCCATCCCTGCTTTTGACGTCTTGGGGAAGAAGTCGTTCTACTTGGGAGAAGTTGGGAACGGAGCTAAAATGAAACTAGTAGTCAACATGGTCATGGGAAGGTTAAACATTCTCTTCTTGTCTCCTTTTTCATTATTGGATAGTAATGGAGCTTTGACATGTTTTATTACACAGCATGATGAATGCCTTCGCCGAGGGGCTTGTATTAGCTGACAAGAGTGGACTTAGCGCTGACACTCTCCTTGATGTCTTGGTAAAGATATAATTAAAACTGTTTTGTCAGATATGAATGTTAATGTTGTAATGTTGTTGGGAGCAGGATCTTGGTGCAATGACTAACCCGATGTTCAAGGGGAAAGGACCTTCGATGAATAAGAGTAGTTACCCACCAGCGTTTCCACTGAAACATCAGCAGAAGGACATGAGGTTAGCTCTTGCTCTTGGTGATGAGAACGCTGTCTCCATGCCTGTAGCTGCGGCTGCAAATGAGGTCAGTTGCGAACTGACAAAGATTGGTTCCTCTCATCTTGATTGTTGGCATCATGAATCTTAAAAGACATGTATGTTTGTGTTTGATATCTCTGACAGGCGTTTAAGAAGGCGAGAAGCTTGGGACTTGGAGATCTTGACTTCTCTGCTGTGATTGAGGCTGTGAGATTCTCCAAGGAAGACTAGTAAACTGTTGAAAATGATTGTTATCTTCCCAAATAGAGAGACTTGTTACTCATTTGGCGAAAACACGTTTTAATCATTCATCAAATAACAAAGTCTTTTAAACACAATCCATATCATTCCTCTTGGGTTTCTATCTTGCTAATAGATGAGCTAATAGTTGTGGCTACTGTTCTGAGTTTACCAATGATTGCTTCACAATGCATGTCTGCATAAGGTTCCTCCCATAGCGAGATCCCATATGAAAATACATCAACCTCTTCACATAGACAACCATAAGTTGTGTATTCTAATGCATAAGATAAAATAGATGTTTGGTTTTAGATTAGTTTTCTCTTTTACTTTCTCGGAAACACGAGTGCTGCTTCCGTTCAAGAGTTCTGGTGCCATCCTTGGAAGTGTTCCTCTCACTCCCATTCAGAGCCGGTCCTGAAATTTTTGGGGCCCTAGACAAATTTTTTTTATTAATTATGATATTTTTATAAATTTTATAAATATTTTTAAGAAATTTATAATTTTGTAGTATATACTTTGTTTTTATCTAAATTATTATAGGAAATTCAGCTAATATATTTTTCTCATTTTTATAAACTAAAAATGTATTCAATTTTTATTTTATAGTTAATATTTATATTTATTATACCAAAAATACAACTTAACTAAGCAAACACTTCAATATTATTAATATCATTTTATTTGTTAGTGTATATATATGCGTGTGAGTATTTGATTAAGAAAACTTAATTGCAATCTGAAGATGTGATTGGATATTGCTCATTCCCTGTATGTAGGGATACAGAAATTATAAACAAATAAATTTGGTTGTAGATTAGAGTGTATCAACGCATTTATCTCTCTTTTCTTCCTTTCTCTTAGTCTTCTTCTACATTATTTTTGAGTTTTTCATTTCCAACCCTATTTTTCACATATACATACAATTTTTTTTTTTGAAAAATGGGGCCCCAATAAAGTGGGGGCCTCATTCAAAAGTTTCACAAACATGTCCACAGGCCCGGCTCTGCTCCCATTGATACTAAATGTTACGTTTGATTCTAGATAAGCCATGATCTCCCATCTGCAGAAATCGGGATTTCTACTTGAGATACTTAGAGAAACAATGAGGGAGTTTGTCATCACTATGTTGTTACCTTGCATATAGGTCAATGTGGATGGATTTTGTCATTTACTAGCATATATCCGCAATTATAATTATAGAATTATGGTTTTATTATTTATACACTGTAATTTAGACAGGATAGAAGATTCCTACTACGTATATCAAATGGGCGGGACTGTCCATGAATAGCTCGTGTCCAAATTATTATGGGTCAATATTGACCAATGTTATAGTGAACGAATAAATTTGTCTAAATGGGTGAGTTCAGTTGCGTTTATGAGTAAAACCGGACTTCACCATCTGACATTAAACGATCCAAATAACTAAAATATCTAGGTTTAAGAAATTGAGAAAATCATATCTAAACTATAAAATCATGTTTTTCACTAAAGATGTATTTAAATACTACATCTAGATGTTTCATCAAATACCCAAAACGAACATGACCGTAGTTATCTTTTGTAAAACATCAAGATATAACCTTTCCTTTTACAAATACACTCTATTAAAATAGAATTCTGGTGGCAGATTAGTGACATTTTTATTCTTACCACGTTAAGGAATTTTTATTATCTATCAATTTTACACAGCTATGAGTGTATTTGCATTGGGACCGTATGGTCATAGATATTTTGGATAAATAATTGTTATATCCAATAAGTATTTGATAGATTATGGTTCGGTTATGGATCAGATATGACCGATTCTAGATACCCGTTTAATATATGAATCAAGAAACAGTTTACATGTTAATCGAATTAATTCAGTGGTTACACACTTACCCACTCGGCCATACAACTTGGATTTGAGTAACTAAAGTGTTAATTTTATAGGTGTTTTAACATTGAAATACTATATGTAAGTACAATATGAATACATAAATTAAAGTTATCCATCGTTAACATAGTTGCCACTCTTCCTACCCAATCCGAGTCAGAGCAGGAATGATGACATTTATTTAATATTCTTAAGTATGCATTTTGGTTTAATCAGATTACTCTGTTTATTTTGGGTCTATTCCAGTTTAAAATACTCGTACATGTAGCCATGAGCATCGCCCGTATATGGCCCAACCGGCCAATTTTAAATATGATTTGGTTCAAACAGTTTTATTTAAACTATCCAAAAATATCTGAAATAACTAGTATAATCTGTTAGCCCTTGGTATTGGTTTGAGTCTGGTTCAATTGTAAATGTAATTTAGCATTGGTTTAGTATTAAACCAAGTCGAGAATAGACTATATATACATATAAATGTGGTTACTGTAAAGTTAATGTGAATAACAGAATCATTTCCTTAACCGTATTCTGTTTTCTCATATGGTATCAGAACGTTTTTCAGCTCGTTTTCTCTGATTTTTTCGATCAAATTCATCTTTCTTTTTCTGTTTTCTTCATCGTTCTGTGAAGATCTTGTTGAATCTGAGCTTCGATCGAGTATAGAAGCTTGATTTTGTCACTATTGACGAATCTTGTTTCTTCGATTGACGTTTTCTTCAGATTTCAAATCGAATCTCCACCATGGCGAAGCAAGGAAGGAAGATGAGGACTCGAACAACCGTTTCAGATTCAGAATCACCGATAATACGAAGTCAGAATCGTCATTCCGATCATGATGAACCAGAAGTTGAAGCTGTTCAATCTCAAAATCCTACGACGAATCGTGCTTCTGCGAGATCGACTTATGCTGGTATTCCATCTATTGACAACACTCATAGTCCTTTCTTCTTGCATTCCGCAGATCATCCTGGATTGTGTATTGCTAATCAGACCTTAGATGGAACGAACTATAACATTTGGTATATTGCGATGAGGATGAGTCTTGAGGCTAAGAATAAAATAGGATTTGTTGATGGAACCATGCTTAGGCCAGCTGAAACTGATCCGATGTTCAAGATTTGGAGTACATGCAATAGCATGGTTAAGTCGTGGTTGCTGAATACTGTGAATAGGGAGATCTATGACAGTATATTGTATTATGAAGATGCTGTTGAGATGTGGAATGATCTTCATTCACGTTTTCGTGTGAGTAATTTGCCTCGCAAGTATCAACTCGAGCAATCGATTGCTACTTTAAAGAAAGGTGCTATGGATTTGTCTGCGTATTATACCAAGAAGAAGACTCTTTGGGAGCAGCTTTCAAACACTCGTATCACTACTGCAAGACGATGTAATTGTGATCAAGTGAAGGAACTTCTTGAAGAAGCAGAAACGAGTCGCATCATTCAGTTTCTTATGGGACTAAATGACACCTTTGCTAACATTCGAGGGCAGATTCTGAACATGAAGCCACGTCCGAGTTTGACTGAGATTTATAACATGCTTGATCAGGATGAGAGTCAGAGGGTTGTAGGATCATCTCAGAAACAGAATGTTAATCCAGTGGCATTTCAAGTTCAAGATTCTACTTCACCTGATCCGAATCAAATCTTGTTGGCTCAAGGAGGTTATTACAAGACTAAGTGCACTTACTACTCCAGGCCTGGACACACCATTGACAAGTGCTACAAGAAGCATGGGTATCCTCCTGGTATGCAAAAAGGCAAGAAGCCAAATGCTGTGGCTTCAACGAATCTTGCTGTTACTCAGTCTGGGATTATAAGTGAGAAGGATCACCATGATACTGCCTCTTGTGAAACAATGTCAAAGGATCAGATTCAGTCAATGATCTCTTATTTGAGTACTCATCTTCAATCAAGTGGTGTCTCGTCTACAACTGAAACGACAAGTGCTTCGACTTCAACTTCTGCTCCAGTGATCTCTCAGATCACAGGTGGTCTCACTGGTAACTTCATTTCCCTTTATGATCATTCTTATCATGACATGCTTGTTTCTTCTACTTCGAAAGAAACGAATGTGTCTCTTAGATCTTGGATAATAGACTCATGAGCCACACACCACGTTAGTCATGATAGAAATGCATTCACTGATTACACACCCTTAGATAAAACATATGTTACACTTCCTAATGGTTTCACTGTTACAATAGCTGGTACGGGTAGTATTCATCTCACTAGAACCATTACTTTGTTTCATGTTTTATACATTCCGGATTTCAAGTTTAACTTGTTAAGTGTGAGTGTTTTAACTAAAACATTGAACTCAAAAGTTTCTTTTACTGCTGATGATTGTTTCATTCAGGAAATTACTCAGGAATTGATGATTGGTCAAGGTAGTCAAGTGGGAATTCTATACATTTTGGATGTCGATAATAAAATGCTTAAGTCTCTTACTTTTCAAGGTATGTCCTGTGCTTCTGTTGTTGTTGATACTTGGCACAAACGTTTGGGTCATCCCTCTTTTGAAAAAGTAGATTTCTTATCTGATGTACTCCATGTTTCACATTTAAAGAACAAAGGTCACATTGATTCGTGTCATGTTTGTCATCTTGCAAAACAAAAGCGCATTCCTTTCAAATCTCGAAATAATATCAGTAAAAATGCTTCTGATTTGCTTCACATAGACACTTGGGGACCTTTCTCTGAACCAACTGTGGATGATTTCAAATATTTCTTGACAATAGTAGATGATTTCAGTAGAGCTACTTGGGTTTTTCTGATGCATACTAAGTCGGATGTCTTACATATATTTCCTGGTTTTATTACTATGATTGAGAACCAGTATAAAACAACCATTAAGGCAGTTCGTTCAGATAATGCTAATGAACTAAAATTCACTGACCTATATGCATCTAAAGGAATTTTTGCATATCATTCATGTCCTGAAACCCCTGAACAAAACTCTGTTGTAGAGAGGAAACATCAACATATATTGAATGTTGCTAGAGCTTTATTGTTTCAGTCTAATGTTCCATTAAAATTTTGGGGTGATTGTGTTTTAACTGCTGTGTTCTTGATTAATCGTTTGCCTTCTCCAGTAATAGGAAACAAAACACCTTATGAAAAGCTTACTAATAAACAGCCTGAATATGATTCTCTTAAAGCTTTTGGTTGTCTCTGTTATGCTAGCACTTCTACTAAGAATAGATTAAAATTTGATCCTCGTGCTAGAGCATACATTTTTCTAGGGTATCCTACTGGGTATAAGGGT